TCTTTCTGGTATTTAGTTAAAATTTTACTTTATACAAATAAAAATAATTAGCACAAATAGACACTAAAAAAATTATGCTTATTATGATTAAATAAAAAGTAAGCTTTAATTAGCGGAAGAAAATTAATATATATATATATATTGGAGGAATATTCGAGGAAAATAAAATTTATATTTGATGGGAAATAATTGTTTTATCATTTCATAGAGACCAAATTATTCTATTTAATAATTGACATTTTTTTGTATTATATATATATATATGGTGCATATTTTTGTCACCAAATTAATATAATATTATTTTAGCCTTTTCAATCTCCTAATTTAATTGTGGTGCATAAAAATTAAAATAATAAAAGTACAAAAATATATAGAAATTTTGAGACAGCCACCAGATACACGAACAAGAAAAATCCATAACGCGGTCGTTTCCCATCATGCATGGACACATCATCCCTCACTACAGGTGTGCACTTACGATTCAACAGGTGCTTACGAAAGTGAAATCTCCAAAACCCAGCTCATTCTAAGATGCTGAGCTGGCTGCCACATCATCTTTAAATAATTAAATATTTTCCACGTGTACAATTCTCCTTCCTTTTATAGTAAGCCAAAATCTCTCACATTGTAAATACTCTTTCTATCTTTCTTTGCCCAGCTGGACACGACAAAGACGGACTCGGAAGTGAGTTAACTCAGTTTGATTTGACTCGGAAAGAATGATGGATAATTCTAGTGTGCTTAGTGTACTTGCTCTGTTTTAACCGTAGGTTGTCCAGCTGGCACCTACCAACTAACCCGTGTCCGCGTCTATTTCGTGCCCACGTGGACCACTTTCCCCAACCTATATATACAAATCTCTCTCTTCTTTTTATCCGTAAACCATTTTCTTCCTCTTCTTCTTCTTCTTCTTCTTCTTCTTCTTCTTCTTTTTTCCCTTTTCCCCAGGTTACAACTCTTAAAAAAACTTGGAGATGGAGATTTTCAGGCAATTATCCGAACATTATCCATTTGGATCGAGTACTTCTATGTTCCTCGACAAACCAGAGAGTTCTACTTCGTCCGATCCTGGTACTCTCCGGCGGCCGGCTCACTCCGATGAGGACGTCATACTGGCGAGCAGCAGGCCTAAGAAGCGAGCAGGGCGAAGGGTTTTTAAAGAGACCCGGCACCCCATTTACAGAGGGGTTCGGCGGAGGAACAAGAACAAGTGGGTGTGCGAGCTACGGGAGCCGAATAAAAAGACACGGATTTGGCTGGGCACGTATCCGACTCCTGAAATGGCGGCACGGGCACATGACGTTGCAGCATTGGCGCTTAGAGGAAAATCTGCATGCCTGAATTTCGCAGACTCTGCTTGGAGATTGCCACAGCCGGCTTCCATGGACGCGAAGGATATTAGAAGAGCTGCAGCTGAAGCAGCTGAAGCTTTTCGGCCTCTGGAAAGGGAAGAAGCTGCTGGAGGGGAAGTAAGAGAGGTACTAGAGAGGGTTAAGATTTCTGATCATCGTGATGTTGGGAAAGGGAAGGAAGTGGAAAGTGGAGATCAAAACGAGTCGTATTTGGAAGAAAATGTGTTCTTTATGGATGAAGAAGCTGTGTTTGATATGCCTGGGTTGCTAGCGAATATGGCGGAAGGGCTTCTGCTATCACCACCTCCATTGGTAGAGAGTGATAGGACAAACATGGAGGATGAAGAATCTAGTGATGTTGATTTGTCACTGTGGAGTTACTCGGTGTGATAATTAATGTGGTTTTAATTAGATTAATTACTGTTTAATTTTATTAGTTTATGGATGGAACATCCCTAGCAGCCAGAAGCTTCTTTGTTGTTGAGTTGATTAGTGTGGAAGCTACAAAGTTTTGTAAGTACTGAGTGTCCGTACCTAGTATATTTTGTGCCTCGTGTGTACATACATACATACATATATATATATATATATATTTTTCGATTATAATTACATATACTGATATTATCTAAATCCCCCCTTTTTCTTTCATCTGCGCAACAGAGGGAAAAAAACGCATATATATACACACACAGAATTAATAATTTGGAAGCTTCTGAAGCAGAAAAACTTGCAAATTACATGTAAATTAAAAAAAAAAAACCCAGTAAATCAAAATCCCCAATTTCACGAAAACATACATCAAAATAATTAATTGCCTTGAATAGTCATATATATATATATGGTTATACAAAATAAGAATTAATCAAGTGGACAAAATGATGTAACACAATGAGATTGCTGGAGATTTTGCCTAATTTTCAATATCAATTGTCTGATCTAAATTAATTTATGGGTTCAACATTTCAAATATGTGAATTAAAAATTAAGAATGAAACTAATTAAGCAATGATTAAAACTAACACAATATGTCTCCCGGGTATTTGACATTAGAGACGGCAGATGGATGCTCATGCACCACGTGTCACAATCAGGGCCACCCAAAACTCGAATTTCATACATCATGCTTACAAATATCTTATGTATTTTAGCTAACTCAGGACCACAAAATTTATATTTATATATTACTAATTTTATAGATTAAACAATTATCTTTACGTTTCATCCAATTGGGATTCAAATATCTTATGCTTACAAATATAAAGTCATGAGTTTTTATCCTATTATCTTCTACTTTTTTTTTTTTTTTTTTTTTTAATTTCTAATTTTATACTATTTTTTTTTTGTATTTGTATTTATACGCTTGTGAATATTCTTAAGTTTAGTAATTCCATATAAAACTTAAATTATAGTAAATATTTGTTGAATGAATTTTGGAAAGTTAAATTGCACCTAAAGTTTAACAAAAAATTGAAAAAGAAAAGAGAGAGTAAAAATAAATGATAACGAAATTAAGTACAGGGATCTTATGGAAAAAATGGCAAGAGAAAAGATAAATGAAAGAGTTTAAGTGCATAGAAAAATAATTTTTATGTAAGTAGGTAACTTTAATCTATTCTGTAAAAATTTTGTTGATGATTAAGTGCAAGATGATATGTAAAATTACAAAGTATTAGAAATTTTAAAATAAATTGTCATAAAACAAGTTTGTATCTATTTTAGTATGTGGTTCACCATCTCGAGAAGAAGAATACATTCATAAATACACCAAAAAATATTCCTACATTTTAATTTGTCGTTAAATTATATCACCCAAAAAATATATAGATAACTACATCTAAAAGCACATCAATATTTACCTTTTTAATTTAATACGATGTATAATGTGCAGTATCATATTACATCACCGAAATTTTTTAGAACATAAATTTAAAATGATTAGATATAAAATTTATTTTGTTTTTAATGATTGCTTTTTATTTTTTATTTATAAATATATATTTTTTTAAAAAAATTTTGAGATAAATCGATTTAAAAATCAAGTAAAAGTATGCTTCTCTTTGAGTTATTTTTTAAATCTCTAATTGTGTTTTTTTTCTTACATATCTACTTTGAAAGATAAAATATTTAAGATAATCTTCAAAAGCTTCTTTGAGGCATTAAACATTGTCCCATCTATTTTTTTTCCTTGAGTGAAGTTTAAAATCCATTAAAAAAATATATAAAAAAAAAAGAGCTTCTCCTTGACTATATGCTGCTCGGGTTACTTTTTGAAATTAATTAGTAATAAAAGATATTATTGATTTACTTAGTTTTAACAAGATATAATTTTTATATGTTTAATTCAAAATAATAATAATTTTTTTTTTTTTTTGTTGTTGTTGTTGATAGACATAGCATAAAATATACAATATCGAAATAATTAATTTTAATTTCTATCAATTTTAATAAAATAAGATATATTTCAAATATCTCAGCATTTCTAAATTTGCTCAAAAAATAGCCTAAATAATTTGTTACATCCAAGTGGTATCCCAGTGTATACATTTATTAGCGCTTTGAATTGATAGTAGTGCCCTCACGCACTGCGCGTTCGCACGTGCCTGTGCGCGTGAAGAATGGACCCACTCAATTGACCAATCTACGTGTACTGGATTTATTTTTCCCAGTCCACTATTTTGTCTGACCTCAGTCAAAATTAAAAAATTAATTGCAACTAATTACCATAATTTAAACATATTTGACTCATTATTTAATTGGTAAATAATTACAAATTATTTTATATACATATTAATACAGTATAAATATGTTTACTGTATTAATAAATAAATAAAGATAGTGATGCATATATATATTCATTATATAAAATAATTTTTATAAAAATATAATTTCTCGTTTCGTCCCTGCCAACTGTTACAGTAGGGTTTTTACTGCTCCTGTACTATTTAAGCTTCCCTTCTCTCCCAACTTATAAATTAAACAGGCCAATTAATTCGTATACTGTTTAAATGCCTTCTCTCTCCATTTTGTTTTTCTCTCATTAACTAACGTTATCTACTTCCCAAAACCCTCAGACTTGTTTTTCTTCTTCGAAAGGAAGTATAATCAGAATGGACTTGCTCAATCCGTCAAGAGGTTATGATCACGATCAGAAGCTTCACAAGGCTTTTTCAATGGATGTTGGAAAGCCATTGATGCTCAAAGATTACCTCCTTCAAGATCTCACCTCCTGTTCGTCCAACGGTTTCAATTCCTTCCCTCGCCGACAATGCTGTACGACCGTCCGATTTCTCCTCGATATTGACCTCAGGAAAACCAACACCGCTAACCGGTTTCTGACCAGAAGCCGCTCAAGAGCGGTGGCTTCCACCACCATTTCCGCTTTCCGTAGAGCGTCGGAGGCCGTAATTAAAGCCATCAAGTCAACTTCGCCGTCTCCGTCGGTACGGGACAGAGTTAAGAAAGTTCTTCTCCCAAGAAGCTTGTCGCGGAAGCTGTTGAAAGGAAGGTTCTGGAAGAAAGCAGACGGCGGCATAAAAAAATGGAGATTATTCCGCGAATTGTCCCGAAAATCACAACAAACGTTCGATCAGAATGCGCATCAGTTCGCCACAACCACCACAACAATAATTACAACGATCGGAGTCTCAACAAGTAACAGCTGCAGAGAGTACGAGAGTGAAATTTTCACTTGGGATACTCTACTGTCATCGAGCAGTAACTCTGGTAGTCCGAACCAAAACGACACCGTGGAAGGTAAGAAAGAATTAACGGAGAAGAAACTGATCGGCGAGGATTCCACCAGCAAAAACTCTAACAGAAAGGTTAGTTAGGAGGTTTTTATTTCGGTGCTTCGCGTTTGCAAATCAATATTTTTCTGTTTGATTAATTTAGAATTTATGTTCAACGTAAATTATATCATAGCGTAGCAAACTAGAAAATAGCAGGCGAGGGACGTATTGGGGATTTTCAAATTTACTGAGAGCGGGAAGGGGCATCACGTGTGGGGTATTTAATGTCTTGTGTCTGTAGGTTTAAAATGTTTTAGAGTTAGTCGAGGCCTGTGATGCCGCTTCGTGTTTGTCAGGTGCAGAATCCACGGCGGTATGATCTGCAAGTTTATGATTTTTCAGAGTGATTTAAAATTAAATTATCATTATAGTTATGAAGTATAAATTCTAAAACCTATTTTTAATCAAATTGATTGGTAATATGAATAGTAAAGCAAAATGAAAGTTGGAATTGCAGGTCTTGTTTTGGTTTGAGAAGTTATCAGCTCTTCCAATTTGTCGGTGCTTGTTTAAAAATGTTAATGCCGTGTTTTGACCTAGCTTGCTGTTTGAAGGAGCATATAACAGTTAGTATTTATTGATTGGTGGGCAAATATTAAATAGCATAAAAATCAAAACCCTCCAAATATTAAATAGCATGTGCCTGTGTACTTAAGTGGCCTTAGTCTAACAAGATTTGGAAGGATTTTAATTTAATGAGTAGATAGATGGGTGTTATTATATTTCAAGTACTAGTTTATAAAAATTTGCAATAAAATTATATGAAGTTCGGTTTGTTAGTTTGTAAGTAGTTTCTACCACACTTATTCATACTCTTACTTAGGACTAAAATTACATCAAATAGTTCTTGACCTTTTTTATTTTTTTAATTTGTTCAATAACCTTCTAATTACTGTAATTAAGTCTTCAATTAGTCATTCAATTAATTGTCTATTACATTAAATAAATTTCTAAATGCTTAACATAGCTATTATTTAGATTAAATTTATAAAGAATTTAAGCAAAATTAAATTAAGTATATATGTTTAAATATTCTGTACCCAAAGTTAGATAGGAGTTGTTTTTTTTTTTTTTTAACTGATCCATTTTGGATTTTTTAAAATCTACTAAGATTTTAATGAATCATGTTAATTTAGGTAATTGACGGTTATCTAAGTTATTGATGATATGTTCAAGAATTTATTTGTTTTAATAAATAAATTAATTGAATGACTTATTTGAAAAAAGTTTGAAAGACTTCTAGGGAGTATTTTTATCTTATTACTCTTTAAAAAACTCAAAATTTAGTTCAAATGATTACTAAAGAAGTCTATTTTTATTTGATTTTTATGGATAGTGCTTTGAGGAAAAAAAATCCAAAATCCATTTAATTGAATATTATTACTTAACTTCTCTAATTCTTATGTTAATCACAACATAATGAATTAAAGAATATACTCTCTTCCCTCACTTTAATTTTTTGTACATGGATATTCAAGTTCATGAATTCTTGGGTTATCATTCGCTTCCTTGATGGTTGATGAAAATCATTGTATCTAACTAATGAAATTTTATGTAGTTTGGAGAGGTTGGTGGATATACCTCTCACTTAAAACTTGATTAGAACAGTAATACGTCTAATTAGTTAGTGTGTTTACTCCTAATTTTAAATCGATGAGTTGGTGAATTATAGCAGGAGTGGCCGAATGAGGAAAAGGAACAGTCCAGCCCGGTGTCTGTGCTCGATAGCCCATTTGAAGATGTGGAAGAGTTTAACTCTCCTCAATCCCGATATTGCAGACCCGCGCTCGTCAAAGGTTTTCTTTTTACTCTCCTCTCTCTACATTACCTACACACACACACACTGCAGAAGATTTGACGCATGCTGCTTGTTTGTGTGTATATATCTTTTATAATACTTTACTACAACAGAAAATAACTTAAACGACACCATCAGACAATAACACATAAACACTTCCTTTCCTTTCATCTTGAAAGGCATCTTGGGAATTGAAATTGAAAGAGAATCAGAATTGAATAAGCCTTATAGTTATGAACATGCCTGCAAAAGAAAAGCAGGAAAAAGAAACCCCCTTCACTTGCTTTCTTATAGCAGAAAGCTTTCTCTTATCCCAACCCTTGAGCACCAGATATATGCCAATTCGCAAAGGTTAAGTCACAAATGCCAAATCAACCAAGATCAGAGTAGTCAGCTAGAAAATTCACCCGCCCTAAAGGACCAAACTAACAAATCCAAGCCACTAGATCAACGGAACAATTTCCCAATTTTCGCGGAGCCGGCTACCAACGGACACTTTCCTTTGTTAATATGGGAAAAAACATTATTCTCCACACTACTTTCCAGATAATTTAATCTCCTTTCTCTCTATTTATTCACCAAGGGAGCTTCCATTGTTGACCCAACACACTAGGTCAGGAGAGCCACTTTCCAATACACAAGAGGCTATCCCAAACTGCTTGAAAAAGCTGCAACGAAGAACAATGACTAGCGATTCTGTCGTATTCGAAAACATAAGCAATAATTTCTAAAGCATGTAGCAAATTGACCCTTCTGAATTTCTGAAGATGCTGTCCATCCATCAACATTGAATTTCAAACGACCTGACATGGAAACCACCCAACGCTCCTTTCTTGAAGATAAGGTCCTAAGAATTTATATATCCACCCATATAACGGAAACAAAAAGATTATTAATAGTATCTGATCTAAGGAAAGGGAAGCTTCTTTCACCATCAAGCAAGCCTAATTCTTCCAACAAGAGACACTCGGCATCAGGAGACAAAAAATATTTCTTGTTTTTAGCTAACCAAATTGACCAAACTGCTCCATAAAAATCTGGGATAAGATTAGCTTCCTAGACTAGGAAATCCACAACCCATACAATTTAAGGAAAAAAGGCATCAAGTAAGAGCAACCGAGCGGACTCCCGACGAGCCTAGACCACAGAGTTTAGAAAAACATTGCAAACATTCTGTTTCCCTGCAACATATACCACATCTGGTTAGTAAATCCAACCAACAAACGATGATGTTAAAGATAATCCACCACCAGGACTCTGTCTCTCTTAAGTTAGTAAGATATTTTAGTTTAATTCTAATTAACTTAGTCTACTGCTACATAATATTTATTTAAGTGGTACATTTTATTCTTTTGGTTAACAAAAATTAGTCCTTTCTCTATTTCTCCTGAATATAGTATCAGAGAACTATAGCTTCCGTTAAACTCTTTTATGGCTCTTCTTTCACTCTCTTTTGTAAATTGGTCCTCCTTTCTTGAAGATTTGCCCTCCTGATTCTGAAAATCAGTAAAAATCTTTCTTCGCAGATCTCATTCTTTTCAAAGTTCTTTGATTCTTGTTTCTTTATTCTCATCCTCCTCGTGGAAAACATTAATTCCAATCCATATCTAGCACAGCTCGGCAAATCAACCATTGACGATCTGATGGGCCACTACTTCTTGCATCATTTCATAGTTCGGGATTGGTTTTGGTTTCATAGCATCTAACTGGAAAACTAATTCCAAGATGAACATTCATGATATGCATTTTCCATTTTGAGATGGAGCATTAGGTTAGTTAAGTAGTGTAGTCTAGTTCTAACTTAGTTCACTACTCCTTAATATATATATATATATAGATAAAGTTGTACATTTATTTTTTCGGTTGATGAATATTAGTCTTTTCTCTATTCTTCCCTAATACTCTCTGAGACTTGCCAAGAAAAAACTCACTTTAGAAGGCATAATTACTTTCCATTTATATGTATATTCTAAGGAAAGAACTTACTTTGTCAACAAAAATTTACCTCAATTTCGATTTTTATTAGTTTAGTGAATGCAATTTACCCCATGTATAGGAAAGATTCCATATGATTCTGGTTGGCTTCTTTTCTTTGTGCTCCTTGGTCTATGTATCTAGCTAGGAGTGTAAAATTTGAGACTTCAAAATTTTTTATTGAACTATTCATTGATTGGATTTAGAAAAAATTAGATGATGTGATCTATTTTATTTGTGCATGTTTTTATTAAAAAAAAATTATTAATCATAACACAAATGTCATCAACAGGAACCAGACAAAAGCTAATACAAAAGACCCGATATTTTGAGGGACTCACTCATGAAGTAGAACCAGTTGACCTAGAGAAGCGAATTGCTTCTTTAGAGCTTAACGATGAACATTCCACGAAGCCAACTTCCTCATTCATGTCAATGAACCAAACTTATGAACATGTCAATGATAATGAAAGAGAAGCATATCACTTACTCAACTTAATCAAAGCTAGAAACCCCTTAAATAGCTTTTTACCCAAAGAAGATAGTTTATTACTGGACTTAGTTGGAGAGAGACTACTGAAAGAAAATCATGCTATACTTGGTAAAAGAAAAGAATTATTCAAGGAAGAGTTGTTGAAGACAGCAGAAGATTGGATTAAGGGGCAACCAAGAGAGTTATTTCTGGGTTGGGACATGAAGGCTAACAGAGGTGCTTATTTTAGAGATGTAGAGAAAAATGGGAGTTGGAGAAATTTTGATGATGAGATAGAAAATATGGCACAAGAATTGGAGCTTGATTTTCTCACATCTTTGGTGGACGAATTATTGCTTGATTTATTGTAGGACTTAGGAGCAATATTAATGTATTAAAATGCTTTATTTATATCTTCTCAAGGTTGTTTTCCACACTTGGAATCCAACAAGGGGATCAACTAAATAACCAAAACCACCTTGAGCAAGCGTCAGGGAATTGGTATTTCAAGAATCTTCTTTTCTTTTCCTTCTCTCATTTCTTATTTAGAAATGTAGCTAAATTTTTGAAACTATTTAATTCTCTCCCTTCCCCCAAAAATGATTGTCAAAGAATCTTAGTTATTGTCCAATAGATGAAATCATAATCTTAACTTATAATGGATTGTATTGGTGATGAATTTTAACCTATTTACAAGGTTTTCCTCTGAAAAAAGGTTAGTAAAAAAGTCTCAAGAAATAAGAGTATCATTATGGATATAGGTCATTATGCTTTGTGTTGTCTACGAAAAACACATAGCAAAGTAATTTGATTACTCTCTATTCTTAAATTTTTTGTATTAAATTCTAATTTTTTGTTTGAAATTGTAATTGACAACTAAACTTTCAAATTCTTAGTTCTTATAAAAGTTTACTATTTCTATTCTCACTTTCATCTCCTAAAAACTCGAATGTAGGAATGACAATCAAATGGAGAAACTAGGTTACCTAATCCCATCTTAATCTATTAGGACGAATGAATACAGCAAAAAATCGAATAGTGGAGAGCAATTAATAGTAAAAAATTTTACCTACACAAGCGGTGGGTAAGAAAAGAGTAGACACTACCAAACTCATTAAACATTTTTTTACATTATTTTCTTGTGCCATTTAGTAAAAAAGCTATAATAAGCTTTATATTTTATATTTTACTGTGTTTTTGCTAAATTTATAGTCTTATATTTAATTTATTCAAACTTAATCTCTTATAAATAATATATAATTAGATAAAATTTGTAAATTAATGAAACAAATTAGATAACCAAACAACAAAATTGAAGATTTTCCTATAGAATGAGATTGGAAAAATAATTGTATACTTCTCTAAATATGACGTGAGAATATTTAGATATGAGTAGGAAAAAATTATAAAATAGTAAAACAAAAATGAAAAAATGATTCTATTACTCCACTATGGCACCAATAGAATTGATAATGTAGCAAAATCTCTCGCTCATTCTCACATTTGCAAGATTTAAGTTGGAAAAATTTTCTCCTCATTCTCACTTATGGATGAATACTCAACTCCATTATTTATCTTTCACCTTTGTTCATATGTTTAAGATATAATTTTTATTTAATAATATATATTTTTATAAATTAATTTTAAATAAATTAAATATAAGATAAAATAACATAGCGTGATGGAGTGGATGGGTGATATGGTGTTACCCTTTTTATCCCACCACCCAAATAGAGACGCATAGAAAAATTTCCACCCATCTGTATCTTACCGTCTGAATTCCTAATTTTTTCACTTGCCTTACCCAAGTAGACAAGAGTTTTTTTTTTTTTTTTTAATAAAACTTACACCTATCATTCCCTACCCAAACCATGGGATCATTTTTTCCATTTGTTTTCACCTTGTTTCCCCCTTCAAGAATTCAAATTTTCTCTTTTTTTTTTTTATATTTTTTTATAGATAATTGAGATTTTAACTTCTTTGTTCTGATAAAATCATTTGATTAATAATTCTACTTTAATATCAGTTATATTCAGACTTTTTATATTATTAAAAAAATTAATATATTGGTAATAATTAAAAGTTTAAATCTTATCATATATATTCTTACTTTAAAAGATAAATATACATCAGTACAATATATTCTCCCATCACAAAAAAAAAAAAAAAAAAAAACCTTAAATATACCAATTTTATATTTCTAATAAAATATATATATATATATATATGGTTAAGTTAAAAACATAACAAATTTCAATTAAAAGAAGCATATGAAGCTACAGTTTTTATATTGGTTACAAATGCACTCATATACTTTAAAATTCTTTAAATTTTATTTTTAAATTTTCAAAGTAAATATTTCTATTTGTAAATAATTATTGGTAACCACACTTCTTATACTATTATATATATATATATATATATATAAATTTGAAAAATTAAAAAAATAAAATAAAAATTTATTAAATGTTCTTCAATTGGATTAACATTTTGGATGTTGTCTAACAGGATACTTGATTGATGAATCTCTTCCTCAAATCCTTAATTTCTATCGAGTCCTTCCATTAATATTGATCATATAAAACGATTTTAAAAAGTTGTTTTATGAATAAAAATATAAATTTAAAATAAAAGATAGGTATTTATGTCTTTTTTTATTAGGTAAACTCATGGATAAATATATGAATTTAAAAAATAAAAAAATAGAAAATATTTTTTTGAGAGTTCTTCTCAAGTGAATCCCTTTAACCAATTCTTTGTTTTTTTTTTATGGGTCCTTCCACTTTAATTATGATTTTTCAATTCATGATTTCCTTGGATTCTTAGTGGGTCATCCATCAACTTCTCTTATAAAAAATTGGAATTTAAAACTAAGATTTCAACATTAATTACCCTTCGCTAACCTTTCATTAGTGAAATTAAACTCAAACTAATTAATTAATTAATTTAAGTTCGTTCCTTAATAATATTTGGTTGTCCTCACTATTTTAAGATCGTTAATACTATAATTTAAGTTCCAAAAAAATTAATAAAATATTTATTTCAAGTCACTTAAGATTTTATCTTAAAGTCAGATTTTCATCATCTCATAAATGATAAAATGTACATATTTAGTTTAAAGAAAAATATAGGATTTGTTGTTAATGAGGAAAAAAAAATGTGGGCCACTCAAAACGTACACAGTCAGCGAAAAAGTGCGGATAGGCTTATGTGTATCCGAGTCAGCAAGCAACTTGCCAACCACATATATTGCTGAAGTAGGTGTTGTCACGTCACAACATATATTTCTATTGGCCACATCAAGTTGACCTTTTCTATTCTTTTAATTTTTAAAAAATAGAAATAGCACCATTAATCAATAATTCATGTATTAATATTAATCATATACTATTATAGAGAATAATCTCAAAACGAGAATAAAGACGAGTATAATACGACTAAAATTCATAATTTTTATAAAAAAATATATTAATTATTGAATTACTTAGTAATTGATATCATTAGTTTAATTTAATTTAAGTTCTAAATCAATTCTTAAAAAAAAAATTTAAATATATATATATATATATGAATAACAAACAGTCCCATTTAAATTTACAATTTTTTATAAAAAATTATTAATTATTGAACTAATTAGTAATTAATATTGTTAGTTTAATTTAATTTAAGTCGTAATTTAATTTTTTTTTTTCAAAAAAGCAAAATTTAAGTTCTAAAAAATTGTAGTATTATTTTTTTTTTCTTTTTTCAAGTGAGAAAGCACCATCTCCGCTCCTTTCACGAGTCACGACTAGAATATACAAAAACTTTATATATATTATAACACTCGAATTCAAAATTTTGATCCGAGATAATTTAATATTAATAAGAATAATAATTAAAATAATTTAGTTTTTTATTTTTTTGTTAATTTTTGATGAAATTGAAATTAATTGTGAAAAACATGGTGAAACTGTAAATAAAGGGAGTATATTTAAAAGAAAAGTTGAAAACAATTGGTCAAATCGCAAAAAGAAAAATGTGGGCTACGTGGGACATCCACGTCAGCAGCACGACGAGTCAGAACGCGCTGCGTAGCAAACATGCTAGCACAGGTTCCACGTGGGCGATCCGCGTGCGTGGGCGATCCAACGGCTCGTGCTTACTCCCGCGTGCACGAGCGGTCCAAATTGATTTCCTGGATAAGCATGATCAAACAGCTCACACATCTTCAATCGAACGACCCAGATTGATTCCCTAAATAAGAGCGATCCAATGGCTGAGGATGAGTCACGTCTCCTCAAACGGACGATCCAAATTTAGTAGAGATGAGTATTTAAACTCTTCTTCACAGGGAACCCTAACCCTAGCCACCAAATAGGAGATTGGAGAAGAAGAAGAAGGGCGGCCAGAAAGTGAACCAGTTGTCGGAGAAGGAGACCGGCCACCGTCGACGCCAAAAAGGTAAAATATTCTCTCATTTTGCTCGAAATTGGATTTTGTACCTCCCCACACCCATATAGAAGCCAAAAGACCAAAAAGTGAGCCGAAAATCACAAGCGGAGCTCGATCGAACTGTGCTAATCACTGATACAGAAAACCGAAGGTTGGTGAAAATCATAAAATAACTAATGGAGCCATTTATTTAAGTAAATTCGCTTAACATAAAGAAAATTATTTATTCCATACTTATCGTTGAGAGTTTTCTAACATCAATATATAAAAACAAATACTCGGATAATATTATGATTTCATGTACAAGTAAATAAGATTAACAATTCTCCTTTTAATCTGCTTACATGAACCCCTAGGGGTTTATAAGGATATTATTCTACTCCCGAACCGAATATCTAGATTTGTCAGTTAACCCGACCGTCTTCATACCTTGTTTGGTAATGGGAGCCAAATACACCATCGCCTCGATACTCCGTCCGGTATAAGGGTGAACCATGTAACGGCCAAGGAAATTTAAAATGAAATATGTGTGTTAAAAAGGTCAAATGCGGAAGCGTAATAAAAATTTTGATTAAACATCTCTTACACTAAAACAAAAAACGTGCTCAAAGTATAAAAGAACAAACTAACTAAAAGAGAAACTCGAAAATAAAAGGTATAAATATGACTACGGAGTCTTCAGGCGTCCCCTTCGCCGTCTTCCTGCGGAACGGGCTCGGGAACAATGTCTTCATAATATGAAATGATTAAATAAGGAATGAGCTACACCAGCCCAGTAAAGACATCACACTATCTCACCGTCACGGAGGTAAAGGTGGGTAGAAAACACAAAAGGACCAATGGAACATAGTTTACAACAAATTCTTTTATCAATAATAAAAGCCTTTACTATCCACTTATCTCGGTGAAATTCATAAAACAATATACGAAAGCAATAACATTATCATCATCACGAAATCATAGAAACTGTATAACATAATACTTATCACGCCTTTTGCATCTCAATCATTACACAACATATTTTTCCTTATTTACCAGCCTACTAGTATCCATGGGGATCCATAGGGGTCCCGCTA